ACATACGCTGAATCGGATCTCAAACAAAGGTCCTGCGTGTTAACTCAAGCCACACGATTGAAAAATTTTTTCTTCTGCTCTTGTTTGCTTCTTTTCCCTGGGCACAGGCACTTCTTTCCGACTCCAAACGAAGTTGCTCATCTTTCAAGCAGTGCCCATTGAGCAGTCAGATGCCCAACGGTCAAGCCAAGGTCACGACCATTGAGTCTGGTCGCGAGGAAGTGGTGTTGGTTTCGACCGCCTCTTCGCCCCCTCCAGTACCACCACATCTAAACGAAGCCTGCAACTCCATGAGCCTTCAGCCCGATGCACCCAGTGTATTGCCTCGAGAGTCTTGTCGACGAGTGCTCGTTGAAGTAGTCACCAAGCCGCAGGTGGGCTGCATTTGACAAAGAAAAAAATAAACACTATTTTTTTGCCATTCCTTACGGTTGCTTGGAGTAGAGTTGTTTGGAGGGGTGTTCGAATTGTTTACGTTTGTTGGTTTATGATTGAGGTTTAACTCCCCTATAAAGGAAATGGGGAAATTAGCTTTGCTCTACGGGCCATCTTCGACGGCTAAATGCTCAAAGCCTTATAACAGATTGTGATGCTGCTATATTCCAAAATTACGTTTCTTTTTAAAAATGGGAAGACACAGAAATATGTCTTATTCCTCATTCGTTATCGTCGTAATCTGTCTCAGGTGAATTTATATTTGGTAGCCAAATGGCGCATATTTGCAAATTGTAGCTTAAGGAAGATGCGTTCGGTGTCAGTTTCTACCGAAACTTCTTTCACACACCTCCCACTAGCCTCACACTCTGACTACTTACAGACAATGGTTGTTCTCTTTGTTTATATGCCTGCTGTATTATGTCGGATCGTTCTGATGAGCCAAGGTTGGTATAAATTCCGCAACTTCATAAATCTAAACCAATAAAGTACACTGTTTCAGATGTTCGGATGTCTGTTTGAGGTTACTCTACCTTTAGCAAAATTCACCCGTTTGTGTTTCACCAAGTTAGGCTTTAATAACCTATGTATACTCTTCAGATGTTAAGATATAAAGTCGTTTGTTACCATTTTTCATCTAATGAACACCAAATGGGAGACATGTTGGTCGTAACAACGATGATGCGGTTGCTCCGTGCGATCCGAGAAGACCGTCACTGCACGCGTTTGCCAAAATGGGTACTTCACTTCAATTCTGGAGGTGGAGTGATATTAGATGGAGTATGTAGACGAAGGAGATGAAGTAAGTGCTCGAATTGGGGCTTGTCCTGAGGAAAGACGAGGCGACAGCCGCCGATGACTATGAGGTGACCAGCCGATCCGTTGACCAGAGACATCCCTTTGTCAGGAGACGAAATAGTTATGGGTTAAATGAATCTCCTGTGGAGACTTTACGTTCGTATGAAAGTGGATAAAGTGATTCGACGGTTGATCTGACCAGAAGACGACGTCTAACTCACGTTGTGCTGCAGCCTTTTGGCTTTAATACGACACTCAGGTTGGTAAAAACAGTTTGAGTTTTCGTCCATCATATGCTGGACATCATGAGAGCTGAAACTATTTCTTGTAATTAGCTCGTATATATGAAGATCAAGATGGCATGGCCTTCTGTTTGGTCGCAGTCTCGTTTGGCTTTAGTGTTGGTTTGACCTTGCATTTGCCACTTGGTCGGAGCGTCAGGGAAACCTTGTGAAACGTACCTAGTCCCGTGTCCTCTGCCATAATATTCCAGCATTGGACGATTGGCTGGGCACATTCTCAAACGTTTCGCCGGCATCGTCAGTGAGAGGCGCCATCGTAAACACAGAGTTACAACTTACCAAAGTGACAAGTCTTGTAAGTCTTACATTAACACTAGATCAAGAAGACTGTCCAACTCTATCCTACCTCTTCTACAAACTTAAAACAAAAAACAAAAATGTATAGATATAGATATTGAATGGTTTGGTCAATTATCTTTTAGATTGGTCATGGTATTTCTACTCGAGTGTGCTTGTTGGAGAGAGCTAACGTCTATACGCAATGCCAGTTATAAATTAGAATGATTACAATAGCCTGATGTCAGGCCTAGTTCATCCGGGCTAAATGGCCCAAGATAAAGCCCTGACGGAGACTGCGTATATCCATAAGCATCTCTGGTTGAGCTAATGAAATGTAAGTTTGTACGCATGTAAGTCAAGTTACGAAATTACCTGTCAAAATTTCTCATTCTGGGGTCATTAAGATTTAACCACCTAAGACAAGGCATTACTAAGATCGCGTAATTTTGTACATCTTGTTCAGTTGATGAACTTAATCCGCATGTTGGATGGGTGTAAGTGAGGTTAGAACCTTCACTGGAATGAGAGTTTGAGTCGCTTTCTTTTGGATTGCAGCTCAGCATTCTCTCTTCTTAATTTTTTAATCAAAAATACATAGTTCTTGAAGATGTGAAGACCAAGATGTTGTGGCCTTGGGTATGGTCGCAGTCTCCTTTAGACTTATATAGAATGCACTAGAAATACACTTGAGATGCCGCATGGGATTCAGAGCTTAAGCGCTCCGCACAGTGTATGTGCTTCTAGGGCATTGAGAAATAGCGCCAGGAGTGAAA